TACATAGATATTTATGGAGCGGTTTATTCAATTGGTCAGATATGATGATTTGTGATTCACAGTGTAATCTTTTATATTTTGTAACTCTGTTAAATCTTATGATTTTTCAGATCAAATATATCTATAACATGTTCAATGTATTTTCTACCATTAGTGCGGATTACTTTGTCAAGCAAATTGTGCTGGAGAATTTCCAGCTAGATTATTAATAATATTGACTTATGTTTTATCGAAAAAACAATTAATGATTGCAGCAGTAGAAGATTATCTTTGAAGCTGTACATGCTATGATGTTTACAAACATATCATACATCTTTGCATATGATGTTTGTCCGGAAAAGTTGTTTTGCATTATGCAACACAATGTTTTATTTCAAAAATAAATTGATTTGAGCTGCGAATTCTCCTTTACAATCAAACTGGTCATCATAATGCCTCCATTCCTGTGCTCTATAATCAAAATTGTAATCATAAATCCCCTATCCTCTGATTCTGTGTTTGTCAATAACTCTATTCATATTAGGGTTAATTCCAATAAACCCCCTCAAAATTTATTTTTTTCTCACGTTGCTCTCTTGAAGGTTGAATTGCACCAATCCATCCCCTACGATATTACAATATTGTCAATAAGGTGCAATCTGGTCGGACAACTTATGTGCACCTCACATAATTATATGAAGCGACCAAAATTATCTCTACAAAAATTAGTAATTGGCATGGTAGAAAAATATGTAAATGAAGCAACTAACTTGCCTTTTTTTTAGTGGTCTAATAACTCGCCAATAAATGAAGTGACCCAGTTGCTTGCTTGATAACCTAAAAAAATTGCATCATTTTTCTAAACTACTTTTAAGTAAGGGACAAGTGGGATTTAAGAAGCATGACAGAGAATGCACGATTTAAATGCAAGACGTGTAATTCCTTGCGTCTCAGTCTTAACCACTAAACTATCTTATTACCATTTCAAGCATTGTGATAATGGGTTTGTTGCTCTAGTCTTTGATGAACTTATTAAATGATTCATATATGTAGTTAAAAATCACGTCACATTTAGACCATTTTATTTATTTATTTATTTATTTGGCATGTCACTTGCTGATTTTTGCAGGGATAGTTTGGTCATTTCACAAATCAGGTGCACATAACTGAATTAGTCACAAATTTGGGCTTTTCTAACATGATAGCACCTAATTGCGCATATTATGATAGTATAAGGGATGGACTGGTGCAACGCCACCTTTCGGGGCCATGGTGAGAAAAGAATATTTTTTAAGGGGTTCATTAAAATTAACACTTCATATTATGGTACGCACTCCAAAAGGATCTCTCAAAAGGCTAATTTTCCAAACAAAAGTTGCAATGAGATCACGGTACCATTGGGGATAGCATATTTTCAATGGTTAATAACACTTTGGCCTCTTAAACTTTAGGAATAGTCACACTTTATGATCCTCAATCTTAAAATTATGCACTCTAACCTCTTAAGAAGATTAGCCAAAGTTAGAAATGTACAAAAAAATAGTGCAATGATATTTTTGGCCTTTTATTGAGGAGATCATTTATAACTTATTATTATTTCTGTTTTATTGCTAAATAATATACATCTTTTCTATGGCATCTACTATACAAAAATATCAATTATATAAAAGCTAAAATAAAGTTTGCGTTTAGCTTGTTATCCTTATAATTTTCAAGTTGGATTAATGTTTTACTTTTACATATACTTTGTTCAATTTATTAGACTTTAAATCAAAAAATAAGGATAAATAACACAATACTAACAATAAATTGAGTTTAGCAAAATTTTTAAAAATTAAGGTAATATTAAACTTGTTATTATTTAAAAAATAATTTTTCATTATATCAGTTTATGTAAACAGTTAAGATAATATTATTTTTATTTTTGTTTGTGAAATTAGTCAAATAATAAATACTGAACAAAAAATTCTTAAAAAGGGCTAATATGCCTTATTTGTAAACAAAGAAGACAAAAATATAGATTAAATCAAACTTCACTGTTTTCTGCAACAAGAAAAGGGCTATAATTGTAACCTATAAATAATTCAGGGAACAAAAGGGTAATATTATCATAACACTCACTTCTTTTTTTTTTAAATATGAAGTTAAGCTTTTCAAGATTGACTAGTTTTCATAGACAATGAAATGTATATTTTTATCATTAAAGGTGGTAAAGTGTGACTGCTCCCAGAACTTAGGAGATCAAAGTGTTATTAATCCTATTGTCAATTACTATAGTGCTCTATCTTAAAGTCATTTGGAGAGCTTACATACACTCCCATCTATCCTAAAACAATAATATTATGGTACACTTTTTGATGTATCGATGACTTGTATTTTTAATACTGAAATCACTTTTTTTTTTAACAATTAGTTTTGAAACATGTACAAGGCTTTAATTTAGAGTGAACTTAAACTTAATTTAGCCTCTCTCATTATGCTTCAAGAACGAAACATAACCATGTTCTGTTCCTTCCTTTTCTTTTTGCCCCCTCTTTAGCTTCACTCTATTATTAAAGAAATTGGAACAAAAAGAACCAAACCAAGTGCAGAATTTTCACCCTCAAGACTCTGAAGAGCCAACCGTCACTCCCCTCCCCGACGCCCCATCTCAGCACCCCCATCACCCTCCCCACATAAAAGAGAGAGAGAGAGAGAGAAGAATCAAAAGAGTCAAGTGGCTGTTACTGCAGATAATGGCATGACGCGGACTGCCCAATTCTGTGTGGACCAAAGTGCAGTAATCAGTCAATGTGAAAACGTTTGATTCCTCTTAACAAGGTTTTCTGACCATTCATTCGGGCAATTTGATGCCTAGATTTCGCAGGATGTCTTTTGTTCACATTTTTTACGAGTCATATCAGCGTATGAATGAGAAGACAGCATATGTTTTTGGTCTCAAATCAAACACAGGAGAATGAGCAGAGCAGCCTGAAAAGAAATGAAAGTGACCTGCCACCTGTTGGCCATTCCCCTACGTAACCCCCTTCTAGTCCTTTCATAATAATACCAGCCATGATTTAGATTTGGGACAATTATGGTTAATCTAGTTGATTAGTCATTACCTTATGGTATTGTCTTTTTTAGTAATCTTAGGAACCCATTGGTTTATGTTTTAGGTTATATAGAGTGTCCCATGTACATGTATTATGTTACTATAAGAAACAGGTGGTCCATACGTGAGTTCATTTGCATGAATGGAAGGAAAGATGCTCTATAACCATCTCCTTAATGCTTTTGATGGTGAATTTAACTAAAAGACCCTTGCATTCAGGATGAAGTTTATCTTTGCCAAGGAATTTTTTTTCGTCCGAGTTTCTATCCCAATTAATGTTTATAAATATTTGTTAATACTATTGGCTTAAATGCATGGTATATATGAATATTACTATTAGTACATTTTAACATGTTAAAACTTTATAATTTCGTGAAATAAAAAGGTCCCCTTGATCATGTATCGTGTGGTTCTTCCGTTGTTTCTACCTTTTTTTCTTCACAAAATATTTGCTTTCTACCAACCTAATGTCCATTGAATGCTGACAATCCATTATTTATATCAGCTATGCTATGATTTACGTAGAGGTGTCAAAATAGGTGAATCGGATGGATTTAGACAGGTCATAATTGAATCACGTAATGAATATAATTGCTTAATTGAATCAATCCATTTGTGCTCATTTAATAAATTGATCAAAATGAATCAACCCATTATTACTCACTTGAAATTCTGTTTTTATTTTTTAATTTGTTTTGCATGTTGTTTTACAAGAAATAAAAACATTTCATTGTTAATAGATTGCTAAAAAATTCAAATTTATTTTCTTAACATCCACTAAAAATTGAGTTTTAAATATATAATTATTTTTAAAGGGGTATACTGGATGAGGCAAATCAACCACTACCCTCCAATTAAATGAATTTAATTGAATACCCATTTAGGACCCACTCAAAATTCACTTATTAGTGGACGAGTTTAAAACAGACAACACAATTAGATTGTGATTGACACTTCTACATTTACATGTAGTAAATTACAATATGCAATATCTGCTGGAGTAGAATAAGGCAATCAACCCCCCTTCTCTTTTTTGGTGGGTATGGAATTCATAGCATGTTTCCCAAATCAACCAAAAAAAAAAAACTAACTACAAATATGCAAAATTAGTCAAACTAGTTGATTCTGAAAAACTAATATTCATTGGGAGAAATAGCAAAAGAAAAAACAAATATACAATCAAAACAACGGGGGCAAATTGCTTAAAAAATACTAACATAGTCAAAGAGGACAAAGTGCTTGTTAACAAAAATTACAGGGGCAAAATGAAACTCAGACACAATTACAGAGGGTTGCAGTCTAATCTACCCTACTCTTTGGCTACTGTTATGCAACTTGGGCCAGAAAGAGAACTATCTTGACAATTAGCTTTTCAGAAAACAGTAACAAGAAAAGCAAATTAACAATCAAAAAGTAAGATCATCTCTAAGAAAATAATAATAACAAGAGAATTGAATTTACATCTAAAGTAAAAAATTGACAGTCAGATTACAGACATTGACTTCCCATCAACTATCCAATATTTCACTCAAGAAACCTTTAAACACAAACTTCACTTGAGTATATTAAGCAAATGTGAGGAAATCATTCTCCTCTGCCAAGTCAAGCACCCAAATCCCTCTTAGTTTTGGTTCATTACTGCTGCAAATACAGCTCTGAAATCGAAGTTACTATTGTCCGTGACGGTTAAACCATTGCAGCCAAGGCTTATTTTTCTGGGACCTTTACCAAAGTCTCTTTTTGATTCATGATTCATATCACTTTATCAAAGACTCTTTTTGCATGTTTCTGCCTTCCTTCTTGACATTTTCATTAATTCCTCGGAAACATGCCTGGATTCTTGCAAAAGCACCTGATTTTGAAGAATGCAAGTGCATATTTAGCAAGAAATGTTCAAACACGACTGAGTTCTTGCAAAAGTACCTGATTTGTGTTGAATGCAAGTGCATATTTAGCAAGAAATATTCGCAACAGCAATCAAAAGTTCAACCTGGCCAAGATTACAGATGCGAGGAACACAGCCTTCTAGACCAGACCGAAAAGGTTTCCAAAAGATAATCATATGCACTGGAACAAGTTACAATTGTGTACAAAGAGGGTCAGCCAAGGATAAATTACCACAGGAAAGGAGTGCCGCTGATATGAAATAGGTATCCTTTGATCTTCATCTCTTTCTCCCAAGGAAGCAAATGTTACACCCAAATACTGTCCTTTTAATGCCAACCCTGCTCTTCTCCTCAACCCCTTTATATGTACAATCCTAAATTATAGGTGCGAAGGAGAACATGGATCTCCATTGGAGTTCCTTTCATCTTAATCTTCACTGGGACAATGGCAAAGGAAATACTCTCCTCAGTAATGACACAAGACCTTGCAAGCGACTACAACTTGTGAAACTCAAAGTTTACAGGTTATTTGGTATATTGGGAAATATCATGATCAGCTCAAAAGTAATTTTTCCATGATATCAGATCCATCAATTTTGTAGCTTTACAAGATGCGCTTTTGTGCTAACATACATAAAGCACCAAGTATGAACAGATTCCAAATTCTAACACACACAGCTGAAACAGAGGTTTCAGCAACTCCATCGCTCTTTTTGTATCTCAGATGACTTGGTGACCAGGAATGCAAACAATTCCACTTGTCAAGAGGTATTTTGTGCAAGCTTTGGGTGAGTTGCTGCATAAATGGAACAATTTACGTCTGTTTTTAAATGTGAAAGAAGGTGCTGCATGTCAGGACGTAAACTATCTGCTGCTCTTCCAAGAAGAGCCAAAACTTCTGTCCTGGGCTTGCTACTTGCTTGTACTGGCCCTGCCTGCCCCTCATAGTGAATAACATGATGGCTGAACAAAGCAATATATTATGATAAGAAGGCAATATTAATTTAACTTGTTTCTTGAGATGCCACTTAAGAAAAAACCAATGAAGACCAACTCACAGGAAGTCAATGAGATCTACTATTTCTGATGCTTCAACAGGAGCTAATGGTTGAGAATTCTTGCCAAAAACATCCACCATTATCGTTAACAGCAGTGACAATGTCTAGCACAATAAAGTGGAGATTATTATAGTTAAATAATAACAAATACAGTTCAATGCAGCAAAAGGAGATTGCTAATGGCAAAAAATTTGTAATCCAAAAAGAGGCAAAATTGTATATTCCAAGTGAACCTGAAAGAAGGAAAAAGGCATTCAATACTTTCCTCGAACAACTTTAATTCATCAAAATGTTATTCTTGAGCATTAAACATATTTAGAACATAGCATCTTGGACGGATATTACAAACAAGATAAGCTACACAGACAAGTAAGGAAGAAGTTTTTCTATGCCTCTGCTAACAGTTATGGTGGCATAATTGGGTAGACTCCTGATTTTCTCAAAGTACGTTGAGAGTTAACTAATAATGAACAAAATTAACAATGCAACAAGCCAATGGCAAGGTCACATAAGTAATAAGATGAATAATAGAATAATGTCCTCGTTAAGTGTTTAACATAAGATGGTCAGTCAACATCAACTAGCATATACATGTTCGTTTATCAATGTCAAAATCTCAACTATCACAAAGTGGAAGGGGGAGTGCAAAGAAATTACGAGCTGATAAAAACTCAGAATTAGACTCTTCAGTTATAATCTTATAAATCTATTAGATTTTACCCCTAAAAGGTTGTATTAAAAGTAATAAATGGCTCTACTAGATATGGACTCTCTCAAATCTTGCACCATAACTCTCCAAGTCCTGGGTCTGCCACTCACTAGACCATGCATACAATGTTATACAACTTATACAAGCATTCTAAATTTAAATTGCGAGTATAATAATAAATGGAGAAAAGAATTAGTGACTTCTACCTAGTATGCATGCCAAAAGTAGAGAAAAGTTTTTTGACTTTCATATGGAAGAGGGAAATAGTCATAGAAGGAAATGCCAACTTCTCCCTACAAAGTAAATATATTTTTCAGAATGACTTAAATAGACACCAAAATTTGCTAATTATGATTCATTTATATTTGAAAAGCTTTTACTTAATTGAGATCAAACTTTGTACCCTGGCTCTCTATAAGAAGCCCAAAGAAAAACAACAAAAAAAGATCTCTAAGGCTGGTAAATATAAAACTGGTAAATATTAACAAATGTCAGGCAGTAAATTTTCCATTCAGAAGTATGCTAAGCATTCCAAGCAATAAAATGTACAGACATATCTAAAAAGGCACATAATGGATACACAGATTTATATATCTATACAGAAAATGGCTTAAAAAATTGCAGTCAATAAAATCGAATCTCATTTCCTATATACAAGAGCGAAATAAACAAAAGCAGTAGCAACTGTTTACCCCAAGATTGGTTATTTAGTCATCATGGCTTTAAGCAGGTTCAAAAGATCAACTCAGTGGGGTTTGTGTATATATATATATATATATATAGAGAGAGAGACAGAGAGAGAGAGAGAGTATGTCCAGAACTATGAATGCCTATATGCACCTTACTGAAGAGGGGATGCGCATTGGCCAATCTTGGAAGCAGTGGACCCATAATACGAAATGCTATCCTCAAAACTGCAATCGATGTCACGGGTCTAAGATGCTTGATGATTAGGTGCGTGCCTTCTAGCCATTCTTGCGGAAGGTTACTAAAAAAAGAATGTAACAACGCCACAACATTACCTAGTGGGGAAAGGGCAATGTAAATAAATTAGAAATATAATTTGGACAAAATCATATATTATAGGTGGAATTATCTAACAGTAGCATAGATGAACAACAAACACTACTATTATTATTAGCAAACAAGATAATAAAAATCTATGCTTCTCTTCATTCAACTGACACTTGTACTTGGAAGTATATTTTGTTTCATGTAACATAGTTCCAGTCATTCCAGCAAACATCTATCCCCACCAACCACAGAGAGAGAGAGAGAGAGAGAGAGAGAGAAAGAAGGAACAAAACAATGTTTACTGAAGTGGAACGTTTGTTAGTTCGCCTAGTAATAGACTAATGACTACTGATATATCAATGACACAAACAACAATTGGCTTTAAATAATGCCACATCGTTATCCCAAAGGGAAAAAGATAGTCAGAAAGTACTAGTGCAATCCTTATTTCGCCCAACTGGCTCAACTCAACTTAGCAAAAGCATCACGACACTACATTCAGTCTGGAATAGCAGGAAATGGTGATAAGAGTCAAAGTGGAGGGATTTGAGCATGAACTTCAAATCCATACTGACATTTCAATCAAGGTTGTTTGGATTTAAACAAATCCCAAATCCCAGGTTGCTCGCAAATTGGGGTCATTGAAGCCAATTTCTAACCCTCAACGAACTTTTGGACATCATACTGCAAAAGGAATGCCCCTAAAAGTCTTCATACGATTTCAAATCCATGTTAATGCTAGAATCCTTGGGTAGTATTCACACGTGGCACAAGCTATGTTCTTTTACAAAATCAGAGTTGTAAGAAAAATCAAAAAGAGAACAAGAAAGAGAGAGGGTCGCCAACTATATCAAGAAAAGGCTCATGTAAAAGTTCAGAAAAAGAATACCAATAGCTGTAGAAGTGTTGTCTTGGGCAGCCCATGTTGGATCTAACAAAGCATAGCTAACAGCGGATTCAAGCTCACTAGCTGACCTTTTTCCATCAGTAAGCCACCAACATTCTTTTACAACACGTGCAGCTTCCATATACAATTGTACGTGAAACTCCGGAGGAAGTTGAGCCAGTAGAAGACCACAAGCTTGGATCAGTAAACATGACAATTGCTGGCATGTATAACCACTTCGCCAAATGAAATTAGATGTGTTCATTCCAGAGGGCGAGGAACTAGTTCTGGTTGGACCAAACTGATAACCTTGTACTGATTCGTGGAAGGATTTAACCAAAACCAAAGCATTCGGAAAAGGAATCTCCTCTTGTGCTGGGAAGAGTAACATATTCACCATGAATAGGATTGCATACGTGAATTGTTTCCGGGGGCGGAAAACCACGTAGTAATAATAAACTGCTACACAAATTAGACCATTGCAAGATGCCACAAACCTAACCACCCCTTTAGTTCTGGCATGTTTTTCTCTTGACCTGTAACCGGGTTAATTTTTTCGGATCTCCACCTCAAGGAGATACAGAGGACCTTTCGTTTATCCTGAAGGAGGAAAAATGGAAAATTAAGCTCATTGAGTAAAAATTTGCATCGCCAACAGAAAAATGTCAACGGAAAAGATGATGAAAATAAAGCGAAGCAAGCTGATAGAAAAACCTGTGGGGAATGTCCACGCTGTAGTTCCAAGTGAATGTGATGCAGTAGCACATCCACCATTGTGTATATATTTGCAGTTACTTCTTCTGGAGAAAATTCTCTTAAGACACGTCCCTGCATTCCTTAGTATGTGTTAAATGGAGAAGATTTAATCATAATAGGAAATACTGCCCATATGAATGCTAAAATTCTCCATCTTAACCAGAATGATGGATCTAGAAAGGGAGCTATGTCTTACAAGATTAGCACTGTTAATGCTCTCAGGATGTCCATGCATCAGCACCCAAGCACCAGCACACAGGTATTGACGATGTTGAGGGAAGCTATGGCTTATGTAAGTAACGACATAGGAAGGATCAGCTGACGGTGAAAGAAGCTGAGTGCATTGGTTAATCACTGTAGTTTCGGCCTGCCAATATTGAATTTAAGTATCAAGTCCCAGGATCCAACAAAAAGATATAACTATATATCTCTTGCCTGTATGTACTGGATTTTAGTTGACATTTTAGCCCCGAAATTCAAAATTCTAAATATGCAGTCAATGATGCAGTTTCACTGTTAGATTCAAGCACAAAACTGTTGGCTTGGAATTTAAAGATAATGTCAGCTCAGACCCTTTTTTATCCTGTCTGGCACTTAAAAACTTATAATACGTTGAAAATACTTATTTAGTGTCCTCCAAACTTGAACACTGGATTATCACTTCAACCAATTGCAAGTGTAACAACAGCTGCAAGTGGGGCATGAAAAAATATTTAATATTTATTTGTTAAACAAGTAAAACAAAGGATGGAATTACATTAAGTAAAGAGTCGAACAAGAAATATAAGACTTTGTTTCATGTAAATGGGCTTGATGACATAAAAACTTGCAACAACATTGGAATGCTGCAAAATATTCCTAAAACAATGCCCATCCCACCTCATTGATGTTGGGGGGGATTAATTGTGTTTGACAAGGATCATTTCTTTTGGCTTAATTTTACTAGACGCCAACTTCTTAGCATGCTCTACAGGAGGAGATAACCATAAAATTTTGAGAAGCCATAATTTCACCATGAAGTAGTTGTGCCTTGTTCCAACCTCCTATCCCAAATTCACAAAGCAATCTGTTCCAGGAGAGAATTCATTGAACGCCGAGACTAGTCTAACTAAATTCAGAAACAAATGAAAATTAAACAGCAGCATAAGGGACACAAAATAGTAACTTTTATGGAAAGGTTTTCATCAGTAAGGTGGAACCACCGCCAAATGCAACACATACACTGTCATATAGCCTGTAAAATTAAAGGAAGGAGGAAAGATGCAGTTTACCTGCTGCCATGCTTGGATCGCAAGGCCTCTTTTATCCATCCTCCCGGCCAAGGCATCACGTAGGACAGATGGAAAATAACGCAAAGTCTTCTCAGACCAAGCATGCTGACTAGTTGCCAATATTTGCTCCAACATTGTTGGAAGATATAGCAAATGATCGAAGTCTGTAATGCCACGTGTTTTAATAATGATCGCCAAACTAGTTATTGCTATTCGGTTTAAAGTTTCGGTAAAGTCGGTTGGACCCTGCAAAAGCTTACGTAGTGAAATTAAGTTTTCCTTTAGCAAAAAAAATTATGAAATCACTCAGAGCCATAATTCTTACCTTCCCTTCCCTCTTCACAAGAAAAAACTCCTTCAATGATAAGAGCAGATTCATGCACAAATTTTCCCCCAATCTGAAAATGCGATGATCTCCACGTTTCCCTTTTAGCGAAGAAATCATTTTTGTGATGTCATACATCAAATTTTTGCTCTTCCCTTGGTACCTGAAGAATTAAACAATGAAATTTTTTCCTCATCACCATTTAAATGGATTTACTCTGAGAAGCTCAACCAGTGGTAATCTAAACCAGCCCAGAGTTTGGATCGAGAGAAGAAATATTCCATTATCATGATGAATGACAGCCTATTATCTATTATTTTTGTTTTTTTAATCTATTAGTTTTAGTACAGTAAAGTCTTCTAGTTTCTTATAAGTAGCGCCAGTACAGAAAGGAAAATTGCTACCAATCAAAAGAAGAAAACAGAATTATACACAGGCTGCTTAATCACCTGTAAAGTGAAAGAAGGCGGTAGTTCAAAATCTCAAACAACAGAATGGAAGCACCAGGCTTTGTCAAAGTAGCAGTGTTCCTTTGACTCAAATGCTGTACTTGGCACAAAAAAACATGAAATGGTAAGTTATATAAGAAACTGGGGGAAGAAAAAAGAAAGAAACAGAGAGAATGTCATACAAGAAGCTATCATCCACTAAGCTTACCTACCCAAAGAACAAGAGAAGCTATCATCAAGACAACATACTAATCAAAGAAATCCAGTAAAAGTTGTTATGATGTGGACGATCTGATTATAAACAGAACTAAGGTAGAAATGCATTCTGAAATTTGAATCACCAAGCAAATAAAATGTGAAAACTTTAGAGGTCCAATGTCAAGTTGGTTAAACAATTGCTACCTAGAATTATGGTTCTCCACAAATCCAAGGCCCAGACCCAAGCACATCCATTGTTAGTTCTTCAATCTTCTAGTCTATGTGGTTTATAGCCAGGGAACCTTTTTGTGTTTAAAGTTCCACCAACTTCACGTTGGCCAGCTACAACTGACTGTTATTTCACTATAAACTCAAAGGCTGCTAAACCACAGTGCTCCTATGAAAAGGAATTGAGAAGCTTATGGTAACTGTTTACCTTCAGATAGATTTCTACCAGACAGAGAAGTTGCTATGAGAATAAGAACTAGTTATTAATTTCTTTCGAAAGTCAGGTCAGATATGTGTCAACCCTATAGATCGGATATCGTTTCCTCTATGTCACCTTAACCAAGGGCCTGACATTAATTCCAACTTGCTGGAACTGAATCCTTTCCAGAGGAACTGGCTTTCCGGCTATGTCCATTTAGGAAGCAAGATAGCATTAATCTTATCTAATTATCTGGAAGGCGGAACAGCAGAAACAATAGAACTAGCTATTTTTCAGATAGACCACTTCCAATAATCTACATTGCGAGGCTGTCATCTTGTTTGTATCTTTAGAGTCAACTTTATTTAACCTTAGGCCCATACAGGCTTCCACTTCTTTAGTTCCATAATAACATTGTGCTTGAACTTTTCATTATGATTCTAATCTTCAACAAGTTCAAAATCATCCAACTCTGAGACCCCAGATTTACATATGGGCATCTAAGTACTTCAGTAAATTCTGTTCCCATCCTTGAGGCGATCTCTATCACAACGATCTAGTTCTCCTTCCAAATACCTTAAGAAACTTCAAGTACTATGGTATTTATACCCATCAGTGATGCTGCCACGCTCAATGTGACTGCAGTTCAAAAATTATTGACTTTTTTATGATGAAAAGTTTAAATTAAATTAGTAGTGTCTATTTAATAAGCATACACAATTTTTTATAGCAGTACGTGTCAGAGATAGAAAACAAAAATTCTCTTCATTAGATAGGTAGTCATATAATTAGAGAGTTATTATTCTATGGATGATTTTTTTTTTTTGTTGAAAGTCATTTTTGGAGTTATAGCTTAAAGAGAGGAACTTTTAACCAAAAAAACAAAACTAAAAAGAGAAGAGAGACCCTCAGATCAAACCTTTCTCTCCCTTCATTAATAGTAAGATTCAATTTCTATCATCCCATTCAGCTATAGCATGACATCAGCAATCTCTTTCCTGCTTTTTTAATTTGGTTGCAATCGAGGGAATGTAGAGCTCCAAATTAAACAGACCCCAGATACCATAAAAATCTAGGATAGCAGAAGAGAGAACATAAAAATGAAGAAAACTTTCATCATCATCTTCTTCTTCTCCTCTTTTTTTTGTTAAACTTTTTTTAGAATCTTAAGTTTACACATTATTGCAAATATATGTCAACATAGCCAAATTTCCATGGTATATTACGCTCCAAAGATCCAACAAGACCCAAAGAAGCCCAGTTAATAAGGAACCCTGATTATACAAAAATGTTTTCCATCTTAACAACATTAAATTGAATCAGAAGCCACATATCAGAAGTTAATCAGGCAATCACCAAGTTAGAAAGCAACTATATAAATCTATTCTTTATTGAAAAGGATTTCTTGGCCTCCACTAACGTACTACTAATTCCTATTCATAAGATTCTTTTACTATACCAAGAAAAAAGAAGAAAAATGAAGCACATAAAAGATAATTGAATGGTTATAATGCAACACTGTAAATTGTTGCAGTGTCTCTGTTATTTTAAATCGAACAGGACCAAATTTAGTCAGTTACCAATTTAAGCATCCCATACATGAAACCTAAGCTTATGTCTTCATTCTATGTTTAGCTTTTCCTGATAGCAATGAATAAACCTCAACTATCCTCAAACGTGCAACTTCAGAAGATGCAAAACAAAACATCAACAATTAGTTCACAGAAGAGAAGATTCAGTTGTACAAAACTGGAATTGAACTTATGCGGTACAATCAATAATAACTAGATTGTCACTGAGTCCTTCACGGTGATACAATTTTCTTCGTTTAGTAAATAAATTGAGGTAATATGTATGTACTATTCCTCATTGAACAAATCTGTACTGCTGAACTATAGAGTCAAAATCAGAAAAGTGGTTTATGAAAATGTAAACAGCAAGTCAAAAGGAAACGTAATTACAGTTAAGTGTGGACGGAACAATGAATGAGGGACAATCAGCAGCAATCTACAGTATGTTTCCACCATTGCAATGTTTGGGATGACCTGCATCAAAATCCTAAAGTCACAAAAAAAGAACTACAATTTATAATGTACTCATGGACCATTATTAGAAAGATAATTCTATAACAACGTTTTGAGACACTAACACTCAAATGCCACAAGCACCAGAAAAATAGTATTCCATCTGTCCCAAATCAAATGTCTTGCCTGGCCCATTGCAAAACTGAGTCCACTTTCCATAAATGGAAACTTGAAATTCCAAAATCCTCTTACCATCCGCATACTTTTTATACCTACAACTACAATAAGGAACCACATGTTCCCCATTATTCTTACATTTCAAATTACCAATGCAGTAAAACCCACGTCTACCACTAACTGCTTATACTTAATACTTGTGCCACATTAAAAGTAGGACATTCAATTAGGGATAGAGGGAGTAATCTGGTCTACTTCTTAGTAAAGTAGGCTACCAATTTTATTATAACATGTCAAATAGCATAAGACAAACAACTTTTTTACATAAATGAAAAGAAAAGAAGATGAGACACCCATACAATGGAGAAGCACCAATTCTTTGCAGATTCCCAAAGATAACCTCTTCTACTTATATCCTTGGCACCAGTTGCTCAATTTTGAATAACATCACTTATGTATAATGCTTGACTTGACAAACCTGAATTTACCTTATCCAAGGAAATAGTTCCATAAAGGTAGGAGAAAGAAGGCAAAAAACTAGATGGTTGACCTGTCCATTAAACATAGATTCTTCCATCTGAAATGTCAATTTTAGGCATAGGTTTATGGAGAACCCCGATAATAGTGATATTGGCAGTGGACTAACTTCCCGCATCACTGCAATTCGCTCATTAGCCTGCAGATTTGACCCTGGTAACAGCTCCGTAACTCCAGCTGATGCTAAATAATTCATCACTGATTCACAAGCTGGCTGTGCCATGGTGTAAGACACAACCCAAAACATACCAATCGATCTGTCATCCATATTCATATAATCCAGAGTCCGCTCACCTGAAATTTGATTACAATATGACCAAAAAAATGTTAGAAGAGAAAAAGAAATAATCAAAGTAAGTAAAATTAAACACTTCAAAATGTCAAATGGATGGTAAGTCAGTCAGTAAATGAAACAAGCATAAACATTCTTACTTGGTAAAGTTTACTATTTGCAACAAATTTCTGAAAATAATGGAAACAGATGGTACTTAATGTTCCTGGATAGAAATCCAAAGGGTATAGCAACCAAAAAAATCCAGTAAAACAGCAAACATGTATGAAAATAAAAATAAAAATAAAAATACCAAGACACATCTCTTTAAAAAAAGAAAACTATAAAAAGAACAGACAGAGTCACTTTTCAACCAATGACTCAGCTCTTCAATAATTTTAAAGAAGATTTCATTTGATCAAGGATGATTAAGTCATATTTTCAAAGAAGGACACATCCCAATCTCAATCCCCCACCCCTACTCCCAGCAACAACTGGTCCAATTAGGTGATTGTAGTACAGTAGCATATTCTCCTAACAAGACTTTGCCATGCAATTTTGTCTTTCATGATCGCAGGAGCTACAGCTAAAAGTTGTAGACATGATGAACTTTAAAAACTTCAAGTAAAGTACAAGCGCATTCTTGATCTGTTCACTACCTTTAGTTGTTTGTCTCCACCATTCATCGATTTGCTTTCCCTTCTGAAGCTGCTCATTGTTTAAGTATTCTCTGGTTGATGTATTCAACGACCAAATCCTCAAGTTCTGACAACTACTTACGAAGTCAAGCAGGATGCTTTGGGGATTATTTGGGTCAGAACTTGCCTCTTTATGAAATGAGAGAATTTTCCTCGTAATCTCAACCTGCCAGCAGAAAGCGGTTTACGAAATAATATAGAAAAACACCCTTAAACTAAAGGTCACAACAGGTTCTCTCATGATCATTGGATTATACTACTCAATCCACTCGACCATTTGACTTATGGCAAATCTATCCAACCTTTGGCCTACCTCTCAATCAGCATATCACAACCATGATACCTAAGCCACCCACTACTCTTTCTCTTCTATTTCCTTTACCTTTGAACCCCAAAGAACTTCCCCCAAACCCCTCCGCCCCTAAAAGTCCGAAAGCAGATTTCTCCTGTACACATGACCATCATCCTGTTACAAGCTTACTAAGTGCTCAACTCAAAGGGAAAAAGTACTCAACTCAAAGAACTAATGTCCACCCAACAGTAAGGATGCCAATATTCTATTATGCACTCCCACCCTCTGGTATGTATGAATGAGGATATCAAAATTACCTCTCATGTACTTTTGCACATAAGATTGGTACCATACATGTTTTGAACGTTTGTATTTGGGCAAATTCTTTTCTTCCTTCTAAAATAGACCACTAGACCAGGGCAAATTAAAGAACTACATTCTTAAAAAATCATAATCAGATCAAATTAAGATTCAGATATCCGCTGTTAGAAACTTTCTACATCTAGATTTCACATGTCCAGGCTTAAAGACTTAAATTCCAAAAAAAAATGATGGGAGAATCAGAGTGCTAACTCCTCTAAACAAGAAAAAAGATGACAAGTAGACATTTTCAATATTAAGATGAATAATAAATACATTTTTCGAAAATAATCAGAGCAAGATCAATGCAGTCCATGCATGGAATTAAGACAGAAGAAAGCTAAGTGATGGAATTAAGACACAAGATAGCCAAGTGATGGAATTAAGACACAAGAAAGCCAAGTGGCTCAAAAGTTTAAGACCACCTTTCTTGAGTCTGAATTTAAAGCATTCATTACTAGCTCAACCCGAATAATTTGAGTAAGCAACCATGTAACGTGGTTTGTCCTGAGGATATGCTGATCACCACCCTGAAGCCGAGAAACCAATTTGTCCACAAAGTCAACAAAATCAAGACATCCGTTTTTCGCAAGAAAAAAGAATACGTCTGAAAAGGTAAGCCACTCTTGCCAGCAATTTATCTCTGCCAAATAGAGTTAGAGCAGGGCAAAGTTAACAATTGGAAAAGAAAAAGAAAGAATAAGGTATTTTGAAAAAATTCAAAACAAAAGCATAAAAAAGAAGAAACAAATAGAAACAATTTTCATTAGATGTGGAAGGTGGGGAAACTATCTACAAATCCTATATTATCATTCAGGTGCCAGAGATTTGCTAACTGTTGGCTATAGAGCTATTTCATATAAGGACAGATAATTCACATCATTCATGCTGCTGACATGGTAAAGTAATGCAACTCCAATTCCAATCTTTTGTTTCCTTCCCGAAACATTTCTTTAGGTTCATTGTATAGGAAAATCAACACTACAAGTATCATGCTGGAGATCAAATAGATGTAAAAGTAGCCATCCAGAGATCAGGACATGCAACTGCAAGCATAAAAACAAAGCTAACGGACAGAGATTTACAAATTGCAGAAAAGTCCCCTTCCCACAACTCATAAAAAACTAATGATCAGTATCTCCAGTTCATGGCTTCAGAGATAAACTAACAGCATTTCTATCAGTAAAGTGCTTCTTTCATGTACCACATAATGTTGTATTGATCCCAGTTTAAAAAGAGAAAAACAGGTATAACATCAAGGATGAGAATATTGCCTGAATTTGTCAGCTTCAATAATTCAGCAATCCGATCAATTGTAGCCTCACTAATCATTTCAGCAGTAAAGACAGCACCAGGAGTTGGTGCTTGAGCTGGAAGCCTGTAACAGGGAGCTAGAAGAAGCACACGCTTCCACCAGTCAAGTGATGGTGTATTACGAAGAGCATGTCTTATGCAACGAAGAGCACGCTCCCAGTCCAAAGTTCCTCTCTGAATGGATACTGCAATATCCTAAATCGAGAAGCAAAATATTGAAAAGAAAGAAAGTGTTTCAACTCTCCTAATTCAGTTTCTGAAGACAAACCATTCTACAATTATACAAGAAAACCCTATTGACAATTCAAAACTTGACAGACAACCCTCATGGAAAAGTCCAGTTGAATCTAAGTGTCTTTTCTTGTTTCTTATTTTGTCTGACAATTCCAGTTTAAAACATTATCTTAAAACAAAGACACCTCGGTATGGCAGGTAGCTTTGCATGCACCTTTACCCGTTTTACCCTGGAGTATAAAACACATAGCAAGTAAAAAAATAATAATGGAAATAAGGAATCCACATTTTATATAAAAACAACTTAAAAGCATCTCAGATATATTGTCAATCAGTTTTAGTTGGCCTTTCGTGACCAGTATGTCCAACCAACTATACCATCAAGTATATTTTTTAAAATGGTCATCACAGAAAATCCAGAACCATAATCTTCTCAAGAAATTATCTACTTACCCAAGTAAAGTTGTAGGTTACATATTTGTACATTCAAGTTCTTGAATAAACTTCAATCAGTTTAACACTTTAGAAGAGTTCATACAGAAGGCAATAAGCTATTAAGCAAACAGAACACGAGGTCATCAAAGTTCATCATCATAGGAAAGAAAAGGTCATTATTGATTACCTCTCCATGCAGTGGTTCTCCAAGCACACTTGGGTATGTAATTGGTGGATATCTCATGTGAGTTGCTGCTTCACCTGACATGTTATTCATCGCCTGAGGAAAAAGCCTAGGAGTTCCAAATGTAGGACAATGAAGATGTTGATCCAACATTTGCATGTGCATGGCCATCATATCTCGCCTTTTGTGGATCTCCAAAATAAGTGTGAACAGTGCCTCATCATCTGGAATATTTTCTATGACCTGCAAGTTACTTCGCACAAGTTCATAAAAAGGTATACGGCATTTATCATCTTCGACTAACAGCCATATCACATCTAAACAACTATGGAGCCATTCAATCAGTGCCTTGTCAGGTTTCCAGTATCTTGCACTGTCAAATTCATCAATACCCTGCTGTTTTTGGTCCCAGTTGATAATCCAATTTAACAGATGAGAGAAAACATCAGCATGGGTAGATGGCTTTAGGTTAAATTTTAGGCTGATTAAGATTATCTTGCAACACAAGTGGCGCAAGTTGCTCATAGAATTGTCCCTTGTAATTAAGTTGATTCTTGAATTTGATTGTTGACCGCCACCAACATCAGGGGACTTCATTGGTGATTGTTCTGCAACTGATTGAGCTGGGGATCCAATACAGTGAACAGAAGGCAGAGGAGATGCAGGACTTGATGACTGAAAATTGGTGGGATTAGTAACCGTGCTGGAAGGTGGCAACACCCCAGACTGTGTTAAAGTCGCAGAAGAGACAGTAGCCCCTGATTGGCTTCCTTGACTGATTGAAACCTCCACAGAAGAAACTGAAGAGAGAAGAGATGGCAAAAAAGTATCCCAGTTTATGTAACTTATGCTAGAGAGACTGTGCAATGCAAAAAGAAGAAATTCTGCTCGGGGTGCGTGACTTCTACACTGAATAACCAGAGATATAAGAGTAGATTCTGTCAAAGCACGCAGTTGATCCTGGTCCTGAAGGAGATAACATATAAGATAAGTACAAGTCTGAATGCTAATGGGCCAGTAAAAGAAAAGGGATCACAAAGCATAAGTGATTTTAAACTTAATCTCACTTGAAATTGACTCAGTAGCTGCTCAAAATCTAACAGGAACTGTTCATTTCGAGGTGGCAGATCTCTATTGAGAGCACTAATGCGCTTCTGTGTCTTGTTCCTGTTTATCAATACAAATTGTATTTTAAAAATCAAGTGATAAAAGAATGTTTTCAAAAGTACTAAAACACTAACTTATGCCCTGATGCTAGCTAGAAGCTCACAGGATGGAAGAGGGTGATTTACAAGTTCTCATCCTTGCAAAATTACCATGCAATATTTGCAAGATTATACGTTACAGGATAAAATAAAATTTCCTTATGGCTACATGCAATATGCTCAATTTGCTATAATTCAAGTGATATAGAAATAAAAGAATGTGAGCGATTTTATAATTCAAGTGCTATAGAAATAAAAGAATAAGAGCGATTTTCAGGGTCCAGTTTAAGTCTATAAAATAATTGTGGAAAAAGTTGTCAGACTGAAGTATTTAATAAGTAATTTTCACTTTCTTGCACAATGATTTCTAACCTAGAATGCACCAGTTCCCTACCTTAAAAGCATTTGCAGGCAAATGAAACACTTATATTCTACTGCACAACGAAGTTTACCTAGAACAGACACCAATTCCCTATCTTAAAAGCAATTTGCAGACAAATGAAACACTTAAATTTTACTGCACAACAAAGTTAAATGAGCTAATAAATCAAAAAGTACTGAAAAAGATGTCAGGCCATAAACTAGATGTCAAATGCAAGTTAATTATTTGTATAACGTAAGTAATGATAAGCCAAATCTATTCCAGTTCCGGTTAACTAGGGACAACTTTGACCACTTACTGGAGACCTTGCATATAAGAACATCTCAAGTCTCCACCTAATATCAACCTCCTCGATTTGCAGTAAATAAAGTTGATGAGAGATGTTGATGGCCACCAAACAGCAACCAGAGAAATGTCTGAGAACCATCAAAAAGATAACATGCTACATGCTACCAAATGATGACTTTCACCTATTTTTCTTTTTTCCCAACTCAACAACAAATACAGCCTTTCACGATACAGAGAGAGAGAGAGAATCCTATCCCTCTGTCGTACATGTCTGATCATCCTTTTACACATCAAACAATCACATCATGTCTGGACTTGCCTAAAACCTGAGTCAACCAACCTTTCTAACTAGTACTGAGGCTTTATCTATCAGCCAACCCTGCATGCTTCCTTCCACTTTTACATCTGGACTTATCCACTTCCTGCAAATGACTGATGACTTCTAAACTAAATTAGTCCACCTAAACAATTAATCCTCCAACCAAAAACACAAAAGACTTGTAAAAATTGAAACTTAGGCCCACAAATGAGGCGCATCAATGGCACATCAACTCCTTTATGAACCAAAAATGATCTTAACGAAAAGACAACTATACAAAACATGTCAAACCTAACAAAAAGATTACAAGAATCTATAAAGAAAGGAATTTTTTATCACATCTTAACAACACATAGCAAAAAAAACCCCAAAGGTTTACCTAATTTTTCCTATAACAAATAAATAAATAAATGATGAAATAAACACGAACTCCAATCAGAAGAAACTACATCCAAGGCATGGAATACAATTATTATCATGATTTAACCAAGAGTTAGTTTTACAAATAAATAATCAACCTACTTCATTCCATACAGCCCTCGAAAATCAAAATAACTTCCATGTCAAACTTATCAAAACCCATGATTGAAACAAACTGCATAAAAGATTCTACATACGGTGGTTCCCGGGCTGATTCATCCGATTTTTGCTGTGCAGTTCTCTGCCAATAAAAACCCACAACACAAAAAATGAATCAAACACAAATCGTGCTGCACCATTGAAAACAGCAGATAGTAAACAAAAATCATAGATAAAAAACTGAACTTTATACTAATTTCTATCTTTCCTGAGCTTTCTTTCTCTGACAACTAAAACACTCGACACAAGAATGCAATCAAACATAATTAAGCAATACCACACAAATCAGAACATCAGTAAAGCAAGAAACAATATAAAAAACTTCAGCTTTCTACTGATACTATTTATCGTTCCTGAGCTTTCTTTTTCTGCCAACAAAAGCCCAAAATATGAAAATGCAATGAAACATCAAATTACGCAAAACCATAGAAAATAAAGCAAAAATACAGTAAGAAAACGGAATAAAAATTTGAACTTTATAACATTTATGTTTTGTGGGATTTGTTATCTTACTCCTAAGTAAAGATTGAAAAGGTCGACGATGGCTGGTCTGGCAGGGTGAAATTGAAGAGCCCTTGAAGTAGCAGACGTAGAAGAAGAACTGGGATTGTTTCTTTGACCATTCTGCATCTGCTGCTGCTGTTGTAGCTGCTGGTGATGGGCTGTGTTCTGGTCCATCATCATACCACTGTCCGAGGTTGTTGGGGTCTGATTCGAAACATTCCCACCCCCAGGAGTTCTAAACATGGTGGCTTTTCAAGAATTTGTGTATATGTTTCTCTTTCTCTGCAAAATTCAAATGTTTGATTAGCAAAATGAACGACTTCTACAAGAGTTTACACAGAGAATTTTACTCATTCGTTTTTTTTTGGGGCTTTTTTGGTGGGATTGGAGCTCGTAAAAGTGATGGGTTTAACACCTGATAAGGCTGGAACGGGAGAAATTTTTTTGGCTAATTAGACTTAGTACCCCGGAGTCTTAACCAAACTACAAGTCAGATTTTCAGGTATCTCCAAATTTCAAGCATCTCCTGTTAGAGTGTACAAAATAAGAAGGTAGAAATTCCTGAATGAGCATTCGCTGAAGTAGTGAATTGTCAAACTATCTAAAGAATGCCTAACTGAAAACCAAAAAAAAGAGTTAATCATATTTACCTCCGTTAAAGTTTTATTATACTACGAGTTAGGCCTAAAGTTTGATCAAATTACATAAATTTCCTTATCACAATTGCCCTCCATCTAGAGAAGGTATATAAAAGCAAAAAATTGTAGCTAGTAGGCAATTTAAATTTTTAACAATATAAATGAAAATATAAAATTGAAAGAATGAGAGGCGTAGAGGATTTTCAAAAAAAAAAAATACAAATACCAAAACAAAGAAAGAAAAATGAAAGAGGTGCTTAGTTCATACTAATAAATTAGATTCATATATAAAATATCAGTATGGGTTTTATACAAGCATTTTATTCTAATTAGTGCTTGGTAATATTCTTGAGAATGGTTATCAAATTAAATTGTTTCTTTTTTTTCCTTTTGTTCAACTGAATAAAATCTTCATGATCAACTTCAACTATGACAGGTATCTATCAAACTAGCAAATATGAATAACCAAGGAGTAATAAATCTGAACAGCTAGTTGTATGGTTTTTTTTTTTTTTTTGTCGTAACCGCACATCTAGTCTAACCTAACCTACTCCTTCTCCTGCCTCGGGGGGAGGGGGAGAGAATCTACTCTATGGGGTGGTCCAACTGAACCAGGGGAACATGACGGGGACTGAACCACCATCAGACCAAATGGGTGCACCACACATCAGTATGAATTTAGAACCACCATCTAATTGTAAGGTTTAAGCGTGAATTAATTGATTTATTGTTCCCCTTAGAAGGACAATGGTTGTGGTGGAGATTGGAAATGTTTAGAAAAGGAGAATATGAGGAAAAGGTCAACAGGTGAGAAGGAAAGATATTTCATTGAAAGTGAGGCATAAAACGAGTAGTATGAGATGACTAGCAATAAAACGAGTAGTATGAGATAACTAGCAATAGAAGGGAAGTGAGGTTAGGAGTGAGAGAAGATGAGAGATAGGGGAAAGAAAAGGTGATAATAGGAGGTAGAAGGTGGATAGGATTAGGTAGAAATGGAGTAGAAAAGAGATAAAACTGGATGGAGGGGCAAGTAGTAGCAGTACGAAGCCACAAAAATGCAAAGAGGATGGGAAAGAAAGAAAGATATTTTTTATTAAGATTACTTTTTTCAAATTTTAGAATCAAATTTGAGATTCATCAAAATCTCTAAAGTGGGTACTAAGAGGTGCTGGCTTTATAGATTTTATTCTAAGATTTTAATACATATACTTATTAGCCACGCAATAAGTATGAGAGTCATTTTAATTCTCATTCCAATATTTTTCAATGAAGTACCCCTAACAAGTTAAAAAAATAAAGAACAAAACTCAAACATATGTTAAAATAAAAAAAATTCTAATTATCATAATAAGGGTTAAATACTCAAGAATAAATATAGAGAAGGAAAAAAAAATCTTACAAACTGAGTAAACAAAATAGAGAAACCACAAGAAGAAAAGAAATAATCACCTTTAAAAGTAGAAGTGAAACTAATAGGGAACTTAAACTCCACTCTGCAATTAGATTCTCACAACACTATTTCATGACAAGTGATGATACAAACCCAAAATTTGAATCCTTGGATCGAATGTGGACATTTGACGTGGCATACATGTCAGAAAAGTCAAATCACAGTCTTACGTTTTTTTTTTTTTACTCATTTTTCTCTTTGTTTCACTCTTCTCTGTCTTTTTTCACTGTGACTACTTCCCAATTTCTCTTTTTTCCTTCTCCACCATCTCTATCACCAGTCAATACTATTTTCTTCCTAGATATACAAACTAGCTCTCCTACATCCTAACGGAAGATATAGAAGGAGATACTTATTGAATAAAGAAGAAGCACACATAACTAAATAGAAATAACTTAACATTTAAACTATCCAAAATCTCAATTTTATCATGAATCAAATCTTCGTATTTGTTTGACAAATAAATTTTTTCGTTACTACATCTCGAATTTGCAAACAAACCAACAAAATCATCTTTCTAATACTAATTTAATAACCTTTTATGGTAGTCAACCAGAATCAAAGCCTTTAATTATTGTAATTGTCTACGGCATTTTAGGCAAAATAGGTTGAGGGCAAAAAAATAGAAAGAGCCATTGTTTAGGCATTTTAGGAAGAAGTTTTACCGGTATGAGTAAACTAGTTTATGATATGATAAAAGGGAATTGATGTCGGGAGAGATCCGAAAAATATCTCAAAAATACTTAATCCATACGAATCATAGGTTGTGCTACCAATCAAGGTGGGTAATGTTTTTAGAATTGAAAATTGCTAAAATTAACTCAAAAGGGGGATCAAAAAAGTTATCTATGTAGTGCCACATCAATTGGCCGTTATAATGTCCAAATGACCCATTTAGACTGTTTATCATTTTCCTTTCATAATTCATCTTCCTCAATTATCATCTTCTTATAATAATATTCCATGCAAATCTAGTTTTTGTTTTCCTTCTCCCTCCACCATCTATAGGCACTTAATCTATTCACTTTTTATGATTAGTCATACACATACTAGAAATAGCAAGAAATTATACGAATAGATGTTCATGAAAATTACTTAGATTCACAATTCCGTTTCAATTTGCAAATAGCAATTTCTAGACTTTTTTTCCCTTTTGCATATGGACATTGATAGCTAAATTTATTGCTTTTCCCTTATTTTTGGTACACAATAAGATTGTAGTTTAGTCTTTGATATTTAATGGAGTTATTTTGTTCAATTATATGAAATATGTTTTTAGTGACAAGTTTTCTAGATCAAAGACCGAATGCCTCTTTTGTGCATCTTTTCCATTTAAATAGAAAAACTCTGTACCTTCTCTCCTCCGTCAGAATATCTACCTCCCTAATGTATTAATTACATATATGCTAATATACATCTAATATAGTAGACCATAATCAGCTCTGCTTGATTAGTGCAATTAGTAGACTAGATCCCATAAGCAGCTGTTCTTGTCTTTTGCTAGCAGATCAGATCTCATAATCAGTTGCTGCCCATGACTTCCATAAGCAGCTGTTCTTGACTTTTACTTTTGCTAGCAGGCTGTCCTTGACTTCCATAAGCAGCTGTTCTTGACTTTTGCATTTAGTAGACCAGATCCCATAATCAACTACTGCCCTTGATATCCCCCCTCAAATTGATGCTGGTGGATCAAAAAGCATCAATTTGTCAACCAGAAAATTGTGTCTATGACGGGAGAGAGCTTTAGTAAATATATCAGCAGTTTGGAGATCAGTGGTAATATGAGGAAGAGAAATAACATGATCATCATATGCTTCACGGATAGAGTGACAATCAACTTCAATATGTTTTGTACGCTCATGGAATACAGGATTAGCAGCAATGTGAATAGCGCTAGTATTATCGGCATGAAGGGGAGTAGGTGCAAGTTGGGGAAACCCAAGCTCACCTAAGAGGCCTCGAAGCCAAATGATCTCAGAACATCCAGAGGACATAGCACGATACTCTGACTCAGTAGAGGATTTAGACACCCTATCTTGTTTTTTTGCTTTTCCAAGAAATAAGAGAATTTCCAAGAAACATGCACCAACCAGTAATTGATCGTCTAGTATCTGAACACCCTGCCCAGTCAGCGTCGCTATAGGCTACCAAATGAATAGGAGAATTTTTGGAGAAGAAAAGACCACGAGAGGAAGTGCCTAGTAAATAGCGAATAATGTGACGAACAGCAGCTAGATGGAGATGCCTAGGCGTCTGCATAAATTGACTAACTTGTTGAACAGCAAATGAAATATCAGGCCGAGTAATAGTTAAATAGTTAAGACTTCCCACCAATTGCCGATAGAGAGAGGGATCTGAGAGAAAATCACCCTCATCACGGCGATATTTAACATTTACTTCCAAGGGAGTATCAACAGACCGACCATCTTGAAGACCTGCCAAAGCAATTAATTCCTGGATGTATTTATGTTGATGTAAGAAAATACCAGCTGAGGTAGAGTGCACTTCTAGGCCCAAAAAATATTGTAGAGGACCTAAATCTTTCATATGAAAAGAACGTTGAAGATGCTCATGAAGTTGAGAGATTAATGCAGAGTCATTTCCTGTGATAACAATATCATCAACATAAACCAGAAGTAAAACCAGTCCCTTATCAGTCTTGCGAAGAAACAAAGAGGAGTCATACTGGCTCTGAACAAATGAGAAGCTAATAAGGGTAGAACGGAACTTATCAAACCAAGCCCGTGGAGCTTGTTTTAAGCCATAGAGTGAACGTTTTAGCTTACAAACATCAGAAGAAGATGTAAAAAATAACCCTGATGGTGGAGTCATATAAATATCTTCTTGAAGATCGCCATGTAAAAAGGCATTCTTTACATCCATCTGTCGCAATGACCAGCCTGTAGAAGCAGCAATAGCTAGAACAAGTCTAACTGTTGTCATCTTTGCCACAGGAGCAAAGGTCTCCTCATAATGTACTCCATACTTTTGCCGATTACCAAGAGCTACTAATCGTGCCTTATACCTTTCAAGTGAGCCATCAGATCTCAATTTAACAGAAAACACCCATTTACAACCAATGGGTTTAACACCATCGGGACAAGGAACAAGATCCCAAGTATGATTCTCCTGAAGAGCTTGAAGTTCCTCATTCATAGCTTTCACCCAACATGCTTGTTTAGCTGCCTGTAAATAGGATGTAGGAACTGTAGTGTCAGTTATAGTGGCAGAAAAATCATACCGATCAGGCGGACGACTAAGACGTAGGGACCTTCGAAGAGTGGTTGGAGCAAGGACTGGATTAGTGTCAAGAAGAGGTTGTGATGAAGAAGCCTGTCGTCTCTGATAAACAATCCCAGGTTTAAATCGATCAACTGGTGGGGCAATATCATCAAAGTTAGGAAGAACAACACCTTCAGACGAGGAACCATGGTATGGAAAGTAGTGCTCA